CCATGGAGAAGAGTGAGACTTGGAATCGCTGAGAGGGAATCAAAAATTCAAAGCAAGGTATTCTCAAAATCTTGTAATTTATCTCAAAAATTAGCTTCAGAGACTTTGGAGAATCTTTAATAATGCTTATAATAAGAGTAAATCTTTTATTCCTCCTCTGTTGCATGGTTCAAATATTGTTACCTCACCTAAAGACAAAGCTAAATTGTTTGCTGAGAACTTTCCATCAATCTCTTGATTCCATTAATCACATCCAACATGATATAGCCGACAAACAGGTTGATTCATTGCTTGATATTTGTATCATTCCAGCGTCTGTATTTAAAGTGATTTCCTGCTTAGATTCTTCTACAGCTTGTGGTCCAAACAACATACCTATTATAGTCTTGCAGAAGTATTCTCCAAAGCTGTTGTCTATACTTTCAAAACTATTTAACAAGTGCTTATCAGAATCTTGTTTTCAAATCCCTATTTTCAAAAATTCTGGAGAGCAATCTAGCTAACTACCGTCCCATTAGTCTTCTTCCTATCATAAGCAAGGTTTTTGAGTTTTTATTTAACAAACACTTAATCTCTCATCTTGAATCTAATAACTTACTTTCTGATCATCAATATGAATTTTGGTCTTCTTATTCTACTGCTGATTTGTTAATAACTGATAAATTTTATGTTGCATTAGATAGATGTTGATGATTGATTAGATAGATGAGGTTAAGGCCATCGCTCTTGACATTTCTAAAGCGTTTGATAAAGTTTGGCATGCTGGTCTTCTCCATAAGCTTTCTTCTTATAGTTTATCAGGTAACATCTTTAAGATTATTAATCCTTCCTTACCAATTGTAGTAAAAAAGTTGTCCTCGAAGGACAGCACTCTCCTTCATACCGTGTAACTTCAGGGGTTCCTCAAGGTTCCATCCTTTGCTCTATACTCTTTTTAATTTACATTAACTATCTTCCAGAAATTCTAACATCTAAAATGGCATTACTTGCTGATGATGCTACCATTTATTCTTGTCTTGATAAGAAGCTAACACTCTCTGATTGCTTGGAGGCGGAATTAGCTTGAAAAGGATCTCACTTGTGCTAAAGCATGGGGCTCTCAGTTGCTTGTGAATTTTAACTCAGATAAAACTCAATTTTTTTCAGGTAATTGTTATTGCAATTATCTAGATCTTCCTATATTTATGAACGGTAATGTACTCAATGAGTCATCTACCCTTTGTCTTTTAGGATTAACTCTTACTTCAGAAATTGCAAAATTAGCATCTGCAAAGGTTGCATCTCTTTATCGTGCTTGACACTTTCTTACTCAGGATTCTATTCTATCTCTACAAATCTCAAATTCGTCCTTGTATGTATTTTATATTGTATATAAACTTCATCTTTTCTCTTCCAGTAACTTCCAACTATAATAGGGCTTGCAGCCTTGTTGGAAGACAAAAAAAAAAAAAAAAGTTACTTAAAAGATCAAGATTATTTTAAAGACCAAGATTATTAGTGAATGATTATTAGTGAGTTATTGAGACTAAGAGAACTGAATGATTGAGACTAAGAGAACTTGCTGATGACAATTCAAACAAGATTTAGTTTTGGTTGATAGAAAAAGAGATTAAACCTCTAGGACCAGAAGCTCAAACTTGGCAGCTAGAGTAGGTACAACTACATTTACATTGCATTTTTGAAATTTGTTTAAAAGAGAAAGAGTATCATAAGAAGAACCAATCCAAAAATGACAACAATATTCCATACAGGGACAAATTAAAGGTTTGTAGAGTTAGAAGATTGAATTGGGAGAAAGGAAATGGTGAACCTTATAAAAATAGGCAACTTTAGCAGATAATATCTTTGTAATTGATTTGATATATATATATATATATATATATATATATATATATATATATATATATATATATATATATATACAGCAGCTTTCATAAATTTAGACGCATTCATTTTTTTTTTTCATTTATGTAAGAAAATACTTAAAATAAAAATAAAATAAAAGTGCTACCGCTATGTTTGATAAATAATTTAAAATAGGAAATGAAACTCTATTATAGAGTACCTTAATTTTTTTACAGGATGTTTATTACTCATTTTATACCGATTAACACAAAAAAGTTAATTGATAAACTTGATTTTATTTTGTTCATAAATTTAGACGCACAATTAAAAAAGTCTTATATCTTGTTAATTGATAGTTAATTAGTAGTTTTTTTTCTTATTTTTCTCATTAATAGGCCTAAATTAATTGATTTTGTTAAAAAACCTTATATAAATATGACTTACCTGGAATTATTTAATCATTATTTAATAAATAAACAAAAGTTAAGATAGTTTTGCACTAAAAAAACGTAAAAAATGGGCAAAAGACGTATCACTCAAGGTGAAAGATGACAAATTATTGCGCACATCAAAGAAGGAACCAAAAGTAATAGAGAAATCGCCAAGTTAATTGGAGTTTCTGAGAAATGCGTTCAGACAACGAAACAAAACTTTCTTCACACTGGTGGTGCCAGCGAGAAAACGAGGCCAGGTAGACCCTTGTCAACCACGAGAAAGGACAATAGTGTTCTTTTTAGAGCTGTCAGAGCTAATCCAAGAATTAGTTACAAAGAACTGATCACGGAATTTAATACAACGCGAAATACATCTATTTCTCAAAGCACAGTCCGCCGAATACTTATCATATACAAGATTGGAGTCTACACTGCTTTGAAGAAACCGCTTCTGCGTCCATATGATAAACAAAGGAGACTAAAATGGTGTCGTGAAAGAAGGTATTGGACAATAGATCAATGGGAAAACATTATGTGGAGTGATGAGAGTAACTTTGAGCTTATCAATTGCAAATCTAACACAACAGTCAAAAGAATGGCTCACGAAAAGTATTACGCCAGGTACATTAGACCAACTGTACAAAGTGGAGGAGGCTCGATAGGAATCTGGTCATGCTTCAATTACAAAGGTGTTGGTATCTGCCAAACATACACCGGAAGAATCAACTCCAGAATATACGTAGAAGTACTGGAAAACAACCTAATTCCATCAATTGACCTGCTTATGCTCAATGATAAACCATGGAAACTTCAACAAGATAGCGCTACTGCACATACTCCATACTATACAAAGGAGTGGTTCAACGATAATAATATTATGACAATACCGTGGCCTCCATATTCACCTGATTTGAACCCGATTGAAAACATTTGGGCTTGGATTGATCGTGAATTAGCAAAGGTTCAAGTTTCCACACTTGGTCAGCTTAAGGAATTCCTTAAGGAGACCTGGTATGGGGTCCCAGAAGCGATGTGCAAAAATCTTGTTGAGTCTATGCCTAGAAGAGTTCTTAGTTGTATTAAAGCAAAAGGCGGATACACAAAATATTGATTGGTTCATAAATTACGCCTTCTAATGTATCGTGCGTCTAAATTTATGAATAATTTTTTTTGTCTAATTTTTTTAATACCATGTAGTTGTACCTAATTATTACTTAGTATTTCATTTTTTTTGTAAACTTTTTTTAAATTTTGTATTCTGTATGTATTTATCTGATAAATAGAAAAAAAACTAAACCGAAATCTTTTTTCGTCATTGTTTTATCGTTAAAATACCTAAAATTTTCTATTCTCAAATATGAGTGCGTCTAAATTTATGAAAACCACTGTATATATATATATAAACCAGTAGTGAATGTTAATTCAAGAAGGCCTTTAGAAGAATTAGTAAAACTCAGTAAGAATGTTTTTTCATTCATTTCATTTGTCGATATTGTTAATAATATTGCAATAGTTGTTTGCAATAAATAACTAAATAAATAAATAACTGAGTTTTGATGGAGTTAAAATTCACAAGCCACTGCAAGCCTCAAGCTGTTACAGAAGGGTTGTTCCATGTCAAATTAACAGGCTCATGTTTTAGATTTTACTAATTTTTATATATGTTAAAGGGTTTATGAAAACTGGGAAAATCTGAAAGTTCGAACTAGGGTTTCTCAATAATAAATGGAGACATATATTCTAACTTTTGTGTACCTGGAGTGGGCACAAGGTGAGTGGGATTGAAGGAGAAATATGACATGTTTAACCACCCCCTCCCCTTCTTTTCCTCCACAAATTTCTTTTGTTGTTGTCAATATTAAGTGACAAGGAGGGTTTTTTTGCGGTTCTAATTTTTTAACTCTAAATATAATTGGATAATTACACATACATACATTTAAATTTGAAGAAATAAATAATTTTTTTCTATAAATCTTGTTTATTTTGTTTAATCTTTTTAGTCAACTTAATTTCTGAAATTTTTTATAATTTTATAAAAAATACATCCCTCACCTTTTTTCTCTTCTCATCCCCCCTCCCCATCTCCTTCATTTACCTTGGCTTAAAAAAATTCTTCTGGCTTCTCGTCTTTAAAAATGAGTTTTTTTAAAAGAAAAGGATTGTGAGGGGTGAAGACTATTAATATCTTATAAAAATAAAAAATAATCATAAAAAAGTCCCCTGATACTTAATAATTGATTTCTTATATTCACCAATATTGTATATGAATTGTTGTAATATATATATAAAAATATATGTAAAAGTATGTTTTTCTGTTAGTGAAAGTATGTGTTTCTGCTAGTAAAAGTATGTTTTTCTGCTAGTAAAAGTATGTGTTTCTGGTAGTAAAAGTATGTTTTTCTGCTAGTAAAAGTATGCTTTTCTGCTAGTAAAAGTATGTTTTTCTGCTAGTAAAAGTATGTTTTTCTGCTAGTAAAAGTATGTTTTTCTGCTAGTTAAAGTATGTTTTTCTGCTAGTAAAAGTATGTGTTTCTGCTAGTAAAAGTAAGTGTTTCTGCTAGTAGAAGTATGTGTTTCTGCTAGTAGAAGTGTGTGTTTCTGCTAGTAGAAGTATGTGTTTCTGCTAGTAGAAGTATGTGTTTTTGCTAGTAGAAGTATGTGTTTCTGTTAGCAAAGCTTTCAATTAGTGCAACTAGTTAATTTTAATATGATTTTATTCAGGATGAGTTGCGTCACTTTCAAACTGGAATAGATAAGTTAATTTTCTGGCAGAATGAATCTACAAATCTTCATAAACGTATACACAATCAAGGAGAAAGAATTTCAGAAGAATATAATCATGCTAAGTTAAAACTTGAAGAGTATCAAAGACATGTATGACTAATTTTTTTTTTTTTTTTTTTTTTTTGAATTTGTTATTATAATAAAATCTCTCTGCTTTTTGTGTTTGTTATGTGTATTTGTGTAATTTGAAGTGTAAAGTGCAACAACAATGTGTTTGCTAGTTTTCTTGTCTTTTTCAAGTGAAAAGTCTATAGTTCTAATTTAGTTACGTTAGTATTGTTATGCCCTTGTTTTTCTATCAAACGGTTTTGCTAAATATCAAGGCTGATGATTCTAAGTTAGGAGGTAGTTGTGGGTGGGTGTTAGGTAATTAAGAGTTGAGGTAAGGGAAAATAAATGAAACTTTCTATTAGGTTTTTTTCTTGTTTTTAATGAACAAACTCTTCCTGGCTACTCTTATAAAGCAATTATTTGTTTGTTAAATATTTTAATTGCTTCTGCTTTGTAAGCAACAGAGGCCCTGGTTAAAAATGAGACATTTTGAAAACCCGGCCCTAGCAAAACTGTAAGTTTTAGCAAGAGTTTATAGCTGGGACTAGAAAAAATTTATAATATTTTATATGTTATAATTTTATACTTACATTTACTATTTATTAAATACTGGCATATATTTATATATTTTTAAACTAATTTACTTCCAACTTCCAAGGTTGCAAGCAACCACTATTTAGTTATGAGTTACATTAGAATAGAGGATAGGGTTAAAAAGCTAGGATACAGTTAACTGAAGACTTAAAAAGTTGTAGGTTGTATAAAAAAGAAAAAACATGAAGATAGGTAAGAGTTACCAGGTTTTTTGATGTGTAAGGAAAAAAACTGGATTAATAAATATTTTTAAGCCTGAAAGGGACAGATACAGTTAAAGGATGCAACTTGTTGAATAAGAAACTAAGCAAGAATGAGCTTTGGTTTATTGTAATAGAAATGATAGCTCGTTTAAGCATTGACCATGATAGTATTTGTAGAAAAAAGAAAGAAATGCAACCTTACAACAATGGAAGAGTGGCTCAAGCTTGGCAAATAAAGCAGATTTAATAACATTTACAATGTGCTTTTAGACTTTTTCTAAGAGTAAGAAGGTTGTTAATTGTCAATATAGGAATGCCAACAAAATCGCAGTATTTTTTTGCAGTAAATAAGTTTTGTTGTCTAACAAAACTTGTGGGTTTTAAGTGCAAACTTAAAATCGAAAAGAAACTGCAAGCCTTAGGCTGTTACAGAAAAGAGATCAGATTAAAAATTAACTGCTTGTTCTAAGCAATCAAAAAGTGAAGATTTTTTTTTAGATATGAAACAATACAGGAGCAAAGATAAAACCTTGTGCTACCCTTAAAGTTATTCGAAATGATGGAGTGCAGGCCTTCCAGAATAACTTTAACAATTTCAATATAAAAAAACTAGTATCAGAGTAAAAATTAATCGTAGAATACTTAGAGAGGTCAAAGTGTTTTCTAGAATTTTTAAAAATTGGAAAAACTTATTTAGCACTTTTTATTAGTAAAAATTGAAGAGAGTTCTGTAGAACACTTGTTAAGGACTATAACGGAAATCTTGTCTGAAGCACAAACTGTAGAAGTGTTTCGATCAGAATTAACTTTATCATTGGAAGCCAGAGTGAGTTGGATGTTGAACAATGGGTTAATCTGTTTAACTGTTATGACAGGAAAAATATGGCCATTATATTTGAAAGTCAAATTGTACCAAATAACTCTGTCAAATCTTTCCAAATAACTCTGCCCTAAAAAAGTCAAATCTTTATAAATAACTCTGCCCTATTCTAGGGTGAAGTAAAAAGATCAGACCCATGAAGTAGTGATTAAATGTTAGACTTTAGTTAATGACTAACTTTAGTTGAGGACTTTCCAAAAGTCTCTAGAATAGAACCATAATAGAATAGAATAAAAATAGAAAATAAAAATAGAAATAGAATAGATAGAACCTAACATCAGAGATGTTAGGTTCTAGGATAGAACCTAACATCTCTGATGTTAGGTTCTATCCTAGAACCTAACATCTCTGATGTTAGGTTTAACATCAGGATATAAAATTTAGTAAACTGAGAATAACAGAGCTTAGCATCTAGCAGGACCTTTTTACATTGGCTTCTTGCAATAATAAAAGGACATTTGTAAAAAAGATTAAAAAAATGATTATGGTTTAATAAAGCAACTGCCCATGATGGTGAGAAATGTGGAATAGAAAAAGTCTCGATTTAAAGTTAAAGAGAAGGAATAAAAGCTTCCAAGATGCACATTTATGCATAAATAATATGTATATAAATAAATATGTTTGCTATTTATTTAGATACTGGCATACAATATTCTTACATGTTTATATAAACTTTATAAACATCAGATGATCAGATGGATGTGTGGTGTGACAAGAATAGATGTGTGGTGTGACAAGAAATGGTGATCATATGGATGTGTGGTGTGACAAGAAAAAGAGGTATCGAACAATGTTTATTAGAGAAGATTAATATGATTTAGGTATCAGCATGTAGAAAGGTAGCAGCTTCAGAAGAAAATAGTTGTGGTAGAAGTAAGAAAACTTGCAGAGAATGCCTTACATATTGTGTGAATGAGCTTTAGTTAAGGAAAGAAAATGCTCTAGATTATTTATATTAGAGAAACAGCATAAATAGGAAGGCTAAAGTCTGATGATAATAATGATGATGATGATGATCACCATCTTGTTGATCTTAATGGTGTTTGTATATGCATATATATACAAAATATAGTATGATTTTTGAATTAAAAAAATATACTATAGGATGTATATATGTTTTTGCAGCCGTGGTCACAAACCTGGTAACTACTATATTTTATCAAACCTGGCCCCAGTCAACTTTCAACCCCAGTCGCTTACTATTCTGCTTCTGTAACATAATGGAATTTATAACATTTATACTTGCACAAAAGTAAATAGAAAATAATTTGTAGCATTTTTGCATTTTTTAAACATCAAATGAAACCTGATCACATTTACACAACCACATTATACCACCATTATACTTGACATTTAACAAGTATCGGTAATAAATGTAGATGTTATGTTTTCTCTGTTATGTTACAGAAGCAGGTTGCAACATCAAAGCAGCCATGGTGCAGTGGTTAGAGTGCTTGCTTTAGAAGCAAGAAATCCAGGGTTAAAATAAGCTCTTGGCATATTTTACATTATTAGTAAGGAATGAGGCATAAACTTCTTGTTTAAACACTCTTCCACAGTGCTCTGTGACAAGACTGTTAGTTTTTCTTTGGGCACCTAAAACAAAAATTAAAAAACAAAAATAAATAAAAAAAGACTTGTTACTGAAACTTGTTAAATTTCAAATATAATGGTGGTATAACTACAATCACTACTATTTCTGTAACATGGCAGAGTAAACATAAGGTTTAAATACCTGTACGAAATTGAAATTTTTAAAGTTTGTATTTCTAATATCATCTTCTAGAGCTGTATGCATATAAGAAATTAAATTTAGCAACTCCATTCTTCTTGCTATGATACGTTCCTTTAATGCGCTAAGAAGTGTTTTTCTCTGTGATGAATTAATTTCACAGAATCTGTTAAAGATAAATTTATTTTTTAAATAGAAAAAATTAAGTTAGCATTCTTGCAACAAAGTGATTTTATCAGCTGTGTAAATACCATCATGTGTAAATAATCAAATATAAGTAAATTTCAATATTTAAAAAAATACTGGTTCACTTTAAATAAAATATTCCTTATAAATTAATTATTTTAGAAAATTAATTAATTTATAAAATTCAATGGTATACTGGGTATACCCGGGATACCATTTGATTCTCTGTTTATACATATATTATACTTTTGTTTCATATACAATTTTTAGTAAACCTATATCGATAAATTATCTTTATATTTTATTCAAAAAATAAAACTATATTGATCAAGGTGGCCAGCAATCTGTAAAACCTGGAAAAGTCAGGAAAGTTCTAAATTATTTCAAAAAGTCAGGAAATTTTGAGATTCAGTCACAAAATATTTTTTTTTTATAAAAATATTTTTTTGCTTATTAGAGAATAAAAATCTTATATTTTTTATGCTACATAAAAAATTTGTTGGTTTTTTATGCTACATAATTATTTGTTGGTTTTTTATGCTACATAAAAAATTTGTTGGTTTTTTATGCTACACAATTATTTGTTGGTTTTTTATGCTACATAAAAAATTTGTTGGTTTTTTATGCTACATAAAAATTTGTTGGTTTTTTATGCTACATAATTATTTGTTGGTTTTTTATGCTACATAAAAAATTTGTTGGTTTTTTATGCTACACAATTATTTGTTGGTTTTTTATGCTACATAAAAAATTTGTTGGTTTTTTATGCTACATAAAAATTTGTTGGTTTTTTATGCTACATAATTATTTGTTGGTTTTTTATGCTACATAAAAAATTTGTTGGTTTTTTATGCTACATAAAAATTTGTTGGTTTTTTATGCTACATAATTATTTGTTGGTTTTTTATGCTACATAAAAAATTTGTTGGTTTTTTATGCTACACAATTATTTGTTGGTTTTTTATGCTACATAAAAAATTTGTTGGTTTTTTATGCTACATAAAAATTTTTTGGTTTTTTATGCTACATAAAAAATTTGTTGGTTTTTTATGCTACATAAAAGTTTGTTGGTTTTTTATGCTACATAATTATTTGTTGGTTTTTTATGCTACATAAAAAATTTGTTGGTTTTTTATGCTACACAATTATTTGTTGGTTTTTTATGCTACATAAAAAATTTGTTGGTTTTTTATGCTACATAAAAATTTGTTGGTTTTTTATGCTACATAATTATTTGTTGGTTTTTTATGCTACATAAAAAATTTGTTGGTTTTTTATGCTACACAATTATTTGTTGGTTTTTTATGCTACATAAAAAATTTGTTGGTTTTTTATGCTACATAAAAATTTGTTGGTTTTTTATGCTACATAAAAAATTTGTTGGTTTTTTATGCTACATAATTATTTGTTGGTTTTTTATGCTACATAAAAAATTTGTTGGTTTTTTATGCTACATAATTATTTGTTGGTTTTTTATGCTACATAAAAAATTTGTTGGTTGCAACTATTGTTTAATATTAGAGAAAGTTTTTATTTTATTTGGATTATTTTGATTGTGAATTTTATAACAGAAAATTTGTAAATAAATCAGTGTGAAGTGCGAACACTTCACACTGATTTATTTAGTGTTTTAGATTTAAAAGAAATTTCTGTAAAAAGTCACGAAAAAAGTGAAAAGCATGTTAATAGTGTTAGTTTGTATAAGAAACAGTTGTCAATTCTTTATTAAATAAATATCAAAGTAGTACCTTCAAACAGTATTGTAAAAGATACAAACCAATCAGGAACAGTTGTATTAATGACAGTTTTTGTACATTGAGTGATATAAGTCCTGCAAGCATTCAGAAAACAGTTAATAGCTATGATATATAAGATAAAGTCACAAAATCAGAAATTAAGTGGGCTTTACAATTTGTATGCCTCCATGAATATTATAGGTCTTGTACTAATATAGGAAAAATACTTCAAGAAATGCTTTCTGACAACAAAACATTTCTTAAAGTGTTTTTCTATATTAGTACAAGATTTTTAATAATAGCTTAACAATTCAAGCATGGAAAAGTAAAAGTTTTACTCATAGTGTTTCTCTCTATTGTCATGATGCTCTTCTACAAAGTATTTTGAAATGCAATTTCTGTGCATGTTTGACAAGTTTTTTTTTTTTTTTTTTTTTTTGTTATTCACCTCCTCAAGGCCGAGAAGGCCACTACAGACAAGGAGGCTACTTAATAGTGGTTATAACCCTCTCTCAACTCTATAACTCTGAAACCTTGACGAACAAGGCCGCTGCATGGAGAGACAAGTTGAGCGCGGTACTACCAAGGACGTGGTGGGGATCGAATTCAATGTCACTCAATGGAGTAATAAAGCAAAGTGAATATATGTATCTGCTTCTAGTATATAGAAAAATATAAATCTATTACTTGTTACTTCTTGTCTGTCTTTTTGGGATATGCAACTACAAATTAACTAAAAGACAACTTCAATGCAGTGGTTAATGGCATATTATTGCCTAAATTAATTCAAATCTCTATAAATGGACCCAGTGTAAACTGTAGATTTTTTGATTCCCTAAAGTAATTCAGCTAAATTAGATATTCAGTTAATTAGCATTGGTTCATGTGGTCTCTATAATGTTCATGTGGCATTTCAGAGGGGTAACAAAGTAGCTTGTTTAAAAATTAATACAGCATTTCATAGATTAAGTTGACAGAGTGAATAAAGACACAACAATATGTGTTGGCCAAAAGCATGAAATCTTGGCAGAAAAATAGCATGGTAAGGATACAGACATTTCCTTCGTTGTCTTATTTAAAATCACTTTCAAATGGTGGCATTGATCCATTATCAGGATTATTATTACTTTTGGAAAATGGTAGTATTAGTGCTGACTGTGTTGTTTTAATTGATGAGATGTATTTACAAAAAGGTGTCCAATATCATGGAGGAAGTTTAATTGGTGCTGATGATGATGGTAATTTCTGTTCTGGTATAGTTGTGTTCATGGTGGTTAGCTTGAAAGAATCTATCCCCTTTGTAATTAAGGCCTGTCCAGAGTTTCAAATTTATGGTTCTATGATTAGTTCACATATAGAAGAAATGTTAGAAACTTTATATAAAGCATCTTTTAATGTACGAGCTATAATAACTGACAATCATGCAACAAATGTTTCAGCATTCAAAATTCTACGTTTAAAGTTTGGTGAACAAGATAATGAATTATATTTTACTTTTATGGGACACCGGGTTTACAATTTATATGACAGTGTTCATTTACTGAAAAACATTGTAAATAATTTATTAAATTCAAAACGGTTTGTATTTCCACCTTTTGATTTTATTGAGTTTGATGATATTATTCATGTTGAAGCTGGTGAAATTTCTTGGAGTTTATTGCATAATGTTTATGAGAAAGATGAATTGTTACCTGCTAACTTAATAAAAGCTTTCAAATTGTCTGCCCAAACTTTACATCCAGGAAACAACAAACAAAGTGTTCCTTTAGCTTTAAATATTTTTGATGAAACCACCTCTGCTGCAATCATCAGCTATTTTCCGAACGAAACTGCTGCTGCTGGATTTCTAAGGCTTATTAATATTTGGTGGACTATTTCTAATTCAAAGGTAATGTTTAATACAAACAATAGGATTGGTAATGTAGCTATTCCAGGTGACAAAAAGTCACAATTTTTTCGAGTTTTTGCAACGTGGATTAATGAATGAAAAAACTTGCAGTTTCAAAGATGTAATAAGTATACTTTATCTGCTCAAACAACTAATGCATTAATTACAACACTGAAGGGTACTGCAAGTCTGATGGAAGATTTATTTTCAGAAGGATATAAATATGTTTTAACTAGCAGGTTTCAAACTGATCCATTAGAAAGACATTTCAGTAAATATCGAAAAATGAGCGGTGGAAGATTTTTAGTCAGTTTACGTGTTCAAAATAATAAGTTCAAAGCTCTGAAAAGATATTATGCATGAAATCCTTAATTAAAGCCAATATCAATTGTTGGACGAGCAATCTTAAACTTGATACAAAAATTGACAAAAATGAACTTTTAATAAAATTGGAAAAATATAGCAATGAAATTCAAGAGAATGAGCTTTGTCATGACTCTTACGAAGTTGCAATCAATATATCTGGTTACATCGCGAAAAAGATTGGGGATAAATTTAACTGTGCTAACTGCCTGAAATCATTAAGTTTCAATCAAGTCTCAACAGAATATTTGGAAAGTCTTTCACGTGGTGGTTTAACAAAACCTTCCAAAGCATTAGCTAACTATGTTTGTAATGGGTTTATAATTCTGGACACTGTAAAGAAAATGTTATTAAAGTATTCCCATGATATAAAAATGCATCCTTGCTAGCGCTAGAAAAATATCAACCAAGTGATAGTGATTTTATGTGTATAGAACATGAGGAATGGGGAAGGAATTTGGTAAACACAATTATTACCAACATATATTTTAACAATGAGCAACAAATAAAAAATGGAAACATTAGAAAAAATGAAGTTGCTGCCTTTAAAGTTCGACAAACCAAAAAAGACAAATGAATAAACCCATAACAACATTGTATATGTATATATTTTTTTTTGAGAAACAAAAGAAACTTGACTTGATTAAACTTTTTGTAATATAAATACTTTCAGTAAATGTGTACATTTAAAAATTATGCTAGATTTACTAACATTTTTGTTAATTTTAGTTGTTTGAACCAATAATTTTAAGACTTTAAGATTTTGTAGATTAAAATTGATGGCTAAAATAGATAGTTCATTCGGCTTAATGCAATCATGATTTATTATTAGCTAACTGTTTTAGTGTTTGAAGGTTAAGAATTTTGGTAATAGTAAAAATTATAGCTAAGAGCAATTTATTTAAATATTATTAATGTCTTTACAGAATTATCTTCAGGTTTTGATTCAAAAGCTAAAAACCTAAAATCGGCCGACTAATTTTTTGCGTTCAAGGCAACAAATTCAGCCGTGTTATATAGTAGGCCATGGATTTACTTTAAACAAACAGATACCTGTTTGATGCCTGTTTTGCTGGTAGATTGTAGTCACCAAAATAAATCACAATCCCTGCGCCTATTATAAATGTTAATAAACTATATAAATAAAGTTAAAATTAGGCATAAATCCTATGTTATTATTTGTCTGTAGATGTTCCATCAATTATCTGTCATCTTTCCTTATTATTATTTTCTTATTATTTCTCATCGTTGTCGTTATGTTTATTTCTGAAAGTTATTAAATAACAAAAAACTAATTTTTATTGGCACGATTGTTATTTTTTTATAACTTTTTTTATTTAATTTTTTTTTTATTTTAGGTTAAAAAGTATCATGCAACAATGGTTAATCGCATATCGCCTAAATTTGAACTTTAATCGCGTATCGCCTAAATTAAGTCTAATATTTTGATATTTTTATTATGTTGGTTGTATATTTAACAGCATTTTTGTATTTATAGTATTTTTAAATTTTCCTTTAGAATGAGTTTGATATGTAAAAGTTAATTATATTTAAAAAGTTTCTTTAAGAAATTTTTTTATAGCTTCAAATAAAGAAGTGTTTTCTTTTATCATTATTATTTACTATAAAAATATTTCTGTTATTTATTTTATGACTGGTATTGTTATATATTTTGATAAACGTTTTTTTGTTTATTTTATTTATTTATTTTTAGTTTCTTTTTATGAGGATTAGATTATGGCTGAGCAAGGTTTTCCTTTTGTTAACTATAAAGTAAAAACGCAGTAAAACCGCTGTTTCAGGACTCCCTTCCCCTTTTGCGCACTTTCATGCTTTCAGCGGCCCCCTCCCATTATTTATTACAAAATCAAGTCCCCCTCTCCCTTCTCCAACGCATGAAATTTTCAAAACAAGAAAAAAAAACAAAAAAAACTTTTAATCCGACAGTTCTCTGTGAATTAATAAACTAACAACATTACTGCGTACGTTATTTATGGAAGACATCCAAATATATAGTCTTTGATTAGTTAAAACTAATTTTATTTTACTAAATTACTTGAATTATAGTTTAAAAAAATATTTTTATAATAAAGTTAACATATCTACATAACACTTGCAAAGAAAAAACTGAAAATTATCAAATCATTATTTAATTTAAAGTACATATAAATATGTTTAAAATGTTACATACACTGACATAAACATTTATATGAGATAATGAGTATTCTGTGTTTTATAGCTAACAAAATATTATTTTCATAAAAATGACGCATGTGTCAATAAATCAATTTTCATGGGAACTGTATGATCAGATAGTAAAAGGCGTGAAAGATACAGACAACCTTTTTTTTTCACCTTTCAGTATATATGCCGCATTGTCCATTGTTTATTGCGGCTCTCGTAAGAACACAGCTGATCAGATGAAATTGGTGATGAAATGTGTTGGTGATCCAGAAAGTGTCGATGTTCATTCTGACTTTAAAAAGGTACTAATGTAAATTCCATTTTTACTTCAATCAACGTCACTTTTTTATATTTCAATACTTTTTAACTTATTGTTGCTTTTTCTCTCAGATTTTTGAAAGAATTGCAAACATCCATGACAATGGTGTCATTGTAGATGTAGGCAATAATATCTGGATTAACAACAATTTTACTGTTGAAAATGAGTTCTGCAAAATATTAAGCACATTTTATGACGCCGAAATAAAAAATGTAGATTTTATTGGTAATCCTCAACTTGCTGTTGATATTATTAACCAATGGGTAGATTTGAAAACTCGCGGGAAAATAAATAACGTCATCACGAATCAGGACATTTCTGCAAATACTCGAATGGTTGTTACTAATGCAATTTATTTTAATGCATTATGGAAGCACGCTTTTAAAAATCAAAATACTACACTTACTACTTTTTATATTTCGAAAAAGTCTTCTGTAAACGTACCAATGATGTACCAGCAAAATAAATACAAATTATGTTATGATGAAGAGTTTGGCTCACAAATTTTGATTCTACCTTATAAGGGTAATTCTCTAGAGATGATGATTATCTTACCCAACGAAATTGATGGATTGCATGCTCTGGAAGAGAAATTACTTCCGTCAAAAATGTTCTTGAGCAAACTTGAAATATGGAGAACGTCACGCGAAGAAAACATAGACGTTTACATACCTAAATTTAAATTCTCGACAAGTAGCAACATGAAAAGTTGTTTAATGGCACTAGGAATGACTGATTTGTTTTCCGAGTCAGTTTCAAATTTAAGTGGAATAAGTAGCTCAAATGATTTGTTTGTTTCGAATATTTTTCACAAGGCATTTATAGATGTAGGAGAAGAAGGAACTGAAGCAGCGGCTGTTACGGCTGTTTTGATTGCAACCAGATGCTTGCGTATAACTCCAACTTTTAAAGCTGATCATCCTTTCTTATTCTTAATTTATGATGCTTCTCTTCAATTAATATTATTTTCTGGGAGATTTTGTAATCCTTAAATGACCTTTTGTTATGTGAGTAATAACTTTATTATGTATCGCTTTTGTATTTTAACTCTTAAAGTTGTTTTAATATTTTCTTAATTTTTATAAATTAAATATATATTTTTAGTAATTAAGTGTATATATATATATATATATATATATATATATACATATATATATATATATATATATATATATATATATATATATATATATATATATATATATATATATATATACATATATATATATATATATATATATATATATATATATATATATATATATATATATATATATATATATATATATATATATATATATATATATATATATATATATTTATATATATATATATATATATATATTTATATATATATTTATATATATATATATATTATATATATATATATATATATATATATATATATATATATATATATATATATATATATATAATGTATACAATAAATAAACATTAATTAAAATATATATTCAATTTAAAAAGTAATATAGTTAAAATTAACTTTTTCAATTGATTAAAAATTAGTGTTTTTTAAATTTTGAAATATTTTTTCTTACTATTTCTGTGTAAACTTTTTAATCAAATTAAGTTTCCTTTTTTAAACAATTTAAAAAAAAAGTAGATTAAGTTTTAACAGTTTGTTAAGTTAACATTTTGGATGGCTGCTAATTGATTATACTTTTATATTTCCGTGCATTTAGAGACAGCAGGTGATTCTAAAACCATATATGTAAATCGGTGGATTTTATGAATTTATTTTGTTTATATTTTCATTATTAATTTCAATTTTCATAATTGTTTATTTATTGTATGTGTTTTTTATTGCTTTATTAATTCAGAATTTTTGTATTACTAATCTATTCATGATTAAAAAAATCGCATATCTTAAAACTTTAAAACATTGTTTTTATCTCTTTTTTTTTTCTCAGTATCAATATGAAGATTCGTAAATATGAATCTATAATTACCAGGATATAAATCAAACGGAAAGTGTTAGTATATTGGTTGTGAAAAATTTAATGTTATCTATCAATATTTCAATAATATTAAAAAAAAAAAAGTATTTGAAATATTTGTTATGTGTAAAGCGAGTAATAAGGTTTAGAATTGGCGATTGTCGATAAAAAAAACAACAACAAACATTTTTATCATTAAATGATATAGCCACATTAAATGACTTGATTGGTATTGATTAATTATTATTAAACAACGAAAATAGATAAAAATCACATAAAATTTCCTATTCTTAATTAAATGAAAATGTTACAATAAAACTTTCAGGACAACAATCGGAACATGCGCCTTCCCTAAACTTCATAATACCCTCAGTAATACCAATTTATCAAAGTATTTTAAAATGGACCATTTTCTTTATTTGGTCAAACAAACTTTTTAAGAGATTATTTGTTTGTATGGTCGGTCGAATAGTCGCTTTAAATTTACACATTTTTACATAGAACTCATTTTTACAGCCAAACTCATAACTATTTTATTATATCTTTTATTTCATTCTCTCGCTTTACTTTATTTGAATAAAATTCTTTTTTTTTTCTTGATTTTTTATAATAACGATTACAAAATATATGCAATTATAATTACAATTATCAATATGATTAGAAATAACAACAAGAAGAGTGCAGCCTTGAGATGAGTGAGAGCGATATAGAACAAAGAGAAAGGTGATAGAGTGAAGTGGTGCTAAACGAAAGCACATAAAAAAGTAGTCTGTGGATTCAAACCTAGTTTCCCGACAAATGGGTGAATTCTTACGAATGTAAATGCCCAGGCCAAGCATGTGACTATTGGAGTCTTTACAAATTAAAGGAAGATAACCATCAACACTAAGATCACAAGATGAGACAGCTGAACTGAAATTAGTCTCACAAAGAGCAAGTAGGTCTGGTGAAATTTGTAAGAGATAAGACTTTTGTAATAACCTTTTTCATCTAGAAAAAGGTTATTAAAAAACACATTTTTTAGTTAAAAACGATTATCTCATTCTTCTTTATTATCAGAATCCCCCTATCATCGTACATCTTACAACTACCTTAAAGCTGACTGGGACTCTTTCCGTGATTTTCTTCGTGATGGCCCCTGGGTAGAAATCTTTTGTCTTCCTATTGACAAATGTGCTTCTTACATAACTTCGTGGATTCAGGCAGGCATGGAATTCTTTATTTCCTCTCGACGATTCCAGGTCAAGCCTCACTCTTCTTCATGGTTTTCCTCGCATTGTGCTGCTGCAATTGCCAATCGAAACCGATACTTCCATATCTATCAGCAAAACAATTCTCCAGAAAACAGACGTCTGTTTATTATTGCTAAGAACCATTGTAAAAAGATTTTGTCTAACGCCAAAGCCCGCTATTCTCAGATCATGAAATCTCGCATTTCATCACAAAAGTTAGGCTCTCGTGACTTCTGGAGAATCTTTAATAGTATCAATAATAAGGGCAAGTCTGTAATTCCACCTCTTTTGTATGGTTCAGACTTTGTCACCTCACCTAAAGACAAAGCTGAATTGTTTGCTAAAAACTTTTCATCAATATCATCTCTTGACTCTGTCTATTGACAATATCATCTCTTGCTCTACCTGATATAGCCGTCAAACAGTTTGATCCATTGATCGACATCCATATCACTCCAGCTTCTGTATCTAAAGTGATTTCCTGCTTAGACTCTTCTACAGCTTGCGGCCCGGACAACATACCTGTTATAGTCTTGCAGAAGTGTTCTCCGGAGCTGTCGTCTATCCTTTCAAAACTATTTAACAAGTGCTTATCAGAGTTGAATTAAAGTATGTTTATTTAAAATGCTTCTTGTTTTATATAGAATCTCAATACTTTTTGCAATTTTATTATTTAGATTTCCAATGTGGTTTTTCCATGAAAGATTTTCATCCACAATAATACCTAAAAATTTAGTATAAGTTACTCTTTTTATATTAATTTTATCAATGAAAAGCGACGGCATTTCACTTGGTAGGTAATGCTTTTTATAAGCTGAATGAAAAAGGATCCACTTAGTTTTTTCAATGTTAAGTGAAAGCTTATTTGATTTAAACCAGTCAGATGTTTTTTTTTAGTTCTACATTCATGTCATTAAATAAGTTATTGATGTCATTTCGGGATAAGAAAAGGTTATTATCGTCAGCATACATTATTGTCATTAAATTAGAAGTTTTATAGAGGTCATTAATAGAAATTAGAAATATCAGTGGTCCAAATATGGAACCCTGGGGGACTGCACAGGATATATCTAAAGCAGTAGTTGTTGAGTGTGTATCAATATGCATGAATTGTTTACGATTATTTAAGTAACTTTTAATAACATTAAGACTTTACCAGTGATACCGTAATGTTCTAATTTATTTAATAGAATGCTGTGATCAATAGTATCAAAAGCTTTATATAGGTCTATAAAAATACCTAAAGTAAATTGTGATTTTTTGAAGGAGTCAGTAATAATTCTTGTGAGTTGAAGTACTGCGTGTTCTGTAGAGTTATTTTTTTGAAACCGTAATGATTGTTGTATAGTATATTATTTTCAGAGAGATGATTAAAAATTCGATCAAATAAAATTCTTTCAAGAATTTTGGAAAAAACTGACAAAACTGAAATTGGACGATAATTCCTAACATCTATTAGTTCACCGCTTTTGTATATAGGGGTCACTTTTGCAACCTTCATTTGGGCCGGAAATATTCCTTGACTTATTGAACAATTAAGAACTTTAAATAGAGTATTCTTTATATTATCGTATGACTTATTAACAATGTTTCCATTTAAATCATAATATATAATCAAATATATAATAATAATATATAAATCATAATATATAAATCAAATATATAATATATAATATATAAAAACTAAAAACAAAAACGATGTCATTGCAACGTAGCAGATTTAGACTTGTTAAGTTTAACAAAAAGTGGTGTCCAATGGCGAGTCATCACTAAGTTGTCACTGTCGCGATTTAAGATATACTCCTGTGATTTAGAGCACTGTAAGCGTTGTATTTAAATTGCTTCTCGAATCTTACGCGTATAGTTATTAGGAGTAATAGAAACAATTTTTGGTTTACTTCAGTTAATTGAACCACGACAATGTTGGGCGTGTTCAACTATTCCTGATGCGTCCCAGTTACCTTTTGCTATGTTTTTTTCGTGTTCATTAACACGCGTGGAATTTTTTTTTCTAGTTTTGCTGACATAACTCGCACCACATGAACAATCTAATTGATAGACACCAGGATAACTATTTGGATGCAATGCTGATTTATTGCGACATAAAATATTAAGTAAAGAATCACTATAGCAAAAAACGGTTTTTATACCTACTCTACAAAACTCTCTTTTAAGTATAATGCTTAATTTTGGTATCCACGGTAGTATGACAGTTTTTCCAGAGTCTATTTGCTAGTTTATTGCATTTTTATAGTGATATAGTTTATAATTTTTGACGATATCTGAAAATTGTTTGTATGAATATCCATTTTGAGAAAACGCATTAACAAGAAACTTAACTTCATTTTGAATATTTTGTTTTAAACATATTTTATATGCTCTTGAAAGAAAACCTTTAAAAATACTTATTGCTATATTAGGTGATATTGAAAAATGTGGTTCAACTAATACATTAGTGGTTACTTGCTTACGATATATTGAAAAATCGTATTTATGAAGAAATTGATTGGTGGAAATACAAACGTCTAGAAAATATAGTTGAAAATTTTGGTATTCTATAGTATGCAGAATGCCTGTATCTTGTGAATTTAAAATATTTAAAAAAGAATTTGCGTCGTTAATATTAGAAAATCGAGCGTGACTATCATCAACGTACCTTTAATAAGTTATTGGTGCAATATTGAAGCTTAAAGCTTGTTGGATAGCATTAAATTCGATAAAATGTAGATAGGCTTCCGACATAATAACCATAATGGACAAACAAACAGGACCAGAATTTTCATCCCATAAAAAATAACATTTACTTACACAAATTCAATTAGCTTGTGAATATCTACTTATGGCAATTTAGTTCGCATCTCAAGGTTATCTTTATCTTTGCATAGAATATCAATTATAGCAATTGTTGATTTATGTAGTGGAATCGATGGATACAAATTAAAAATATTAAACCTGAATTTTATTTTTTTCGATAAACCATTCTTTAGCCTCAGATACGAATGAAAAAGAATTTTTAACCCTACACTCATTATTGTTAAGTGTAGGTTGTATTATTTCAACAATATGTTGCGAAAGTTTATGAGCTGGTGTGCCAATAGTTGAAACTATAGTTCGCATGGGGTAATCTTTATTACTTTTATTTGCTGTAATGCATCCATATAATCTAGGTGGAATAGCGTCAGAAGGATATATTTTGTCATAAGTTTTTTTATCAATTTTTTTTTCTTTTTTTAGTTTACTGAGAGTTCGTTGAATTAAACAAAGAAAATTTTGTGTAGGATCAACAGCAGAAATAGTTTAGTTACCAAGTTGTTCTTTAATTTTTTTTATTGCTGATTCTGAACCTAAAATAGCAATTCCACATCCTTTATCAAAAGAGTATATCTTTGATTCGTTCGAGTTTTTAAGCTCATTTAAACCTAGATATTGATTTTTAGAAAGAATACTAGCTACTTTTACATTTAAAAACTTGTTTAATGTTTTGCTTACATTTTGTCGCAAAAATTCAGCTTTTTCAACATTAACACTTTTTCCAATTTTAAAGCACATTTTTTAGTTGTTGCTATAATGTCCATAAACGGAATTTGATTTTTTGATGGTACAAATGGTGGCCCAAGATTTAATAAATTTTTCTGGTTGCTAGATATAGCTTACTGGAGAGGTTTAAAACTGCATTTTTTACTATATTGCAAGTTTGTAATGAATCAATGTTAAGTTTGCTAGAATAAATTTTTTCTTTGGAGTGTTTAAGAATATTAAACTTACTTATCAAATGATGTTTGCTTTTCTCGAATTCAATTTCTCTAGATTTATTAGTATTACGTTCTATTGTAACAAAGTCTTCAAGTTTAACAATTAATTTAATCGAACTCGATAATTCACTTATATTTATTTTACTCTTATAAAACCATTTTTGGCGTAATTTTTTGCTACAATCAAAAGTTTGCGTTGGTATTCTTGCTTTTGATTAAAGCCAGATTATTGATTAAAGCCAGATTATTGCAATAATTTAGACCTTCCTATATTTATGAACGGTAATGTACTCGATGAGTTTCCTACCCTTCATCTTCTAGGATTAACTCTTACTTCTGATCTTTCTTGGAAACCTTATATCAAATCCGTTGCAAAATTAGCATCTGCTAAAGTTGCTTCTCTTTATCGAGCTTGTCACTTTCTTACTCTGGATCCTATTCTCTATCTCTATAAATCTCAAATCCGGCCTTGTATGGAATACTGTTACCATATCTGGGGTGGATCTTCTAATGATGCCTTTTTTCTTTTAGACAAGGTGCAAAAACGTAAACATAGTTGGACCAACTCTTGCAACCAACCTTCAACCTCTGTCACATCGTCGTAATGTTGCTTCTCTTTCTCTTTTCTACAAATACTATAATGGGCACTGCTCTAAAGAGCTAGCGTCTCTTGTGCTATCTACTAAAATTCATTCTTGTGTTACTCGTCATTCAATTAAGTCTCATCCTTTTTCTGTTACTGTTCCTAAGTGCTCCAAAAATTCTTAATCGTCTAGTTTTTTCCTCGAACATCAGTTCTTTGGAATTCGCTTCCTTCATCTTTTTTCCTGATTCATATAATTTGCAATCTTTTAAGTCGTCTGTCAATCTTCATCTTTTCTCTTCCAGTATTTTCCAACACTAATTAGTGGTTGCTTGCAGCCTTGTTGGAAGAGAAGATGTTAAAATATATATATATATATTTTATATATATATTTTATATATATATATATATATATATATATATATATATATATATATATATATATATATATATATATATATATATATATATATATTTACAATGTTCTACCCAGGGCCGGTGCGAGTAGGTGTCACGTGGGGGGGTGCCATTACAACTTTTGCCGACTAAAAAAAAAAAAAAAGGTCCTCGTTTTCCAAAACTTGCCGACTGCCATTACGACATTTGCCGACTGTCTAACCTATATCGAAAGGGTCGACATTTGCCGACTAACTTGTCTAAAAAGGCCGGATTTGCCGACTAAGGGTCCAGTTTGCCGACTAAAAATCATTGATGGGGGGGGGGGGGGTGTCACACCCCTATTGCGCCGGCCTTGGTTCTACCTGATATAATATATTATATTATATTACGTAGAACATTGTACTTATATATATATTATTATTATTTTTTTGTATTTGTTTTACATATTAGAAAGAACATTTTATTTATTACATTTGTAGATAGAGCAAGATAATACTGAGGGGACGATATGTATAAGTATATTTTACGGTAAAGTGGGTGAAGTTTTTATGACTAGTTATTGCTATAAATAAAGCTAATCCGATTGTTTCCATGACTAATGCTAATCCGATGCGATTCGTCCCACTCTCCCATTACTTTATTTATATAGATAATTCTAACACGTGTCATTTTTACTCTAGAAAAGTTATTTTTCTTAATTTTAGATAGAAACTGAGTTTTCTTACTTCAAAAAAACGAGACTGTAGTTAAAGCGCATTTACTCCCTTTTCCATTACCAGTGCTTTTTTTAAAATATTTACTTACCTAGGTTACTTTCGGAGATAACAAGAATTTTTGCGTATGTAAACACAGAAAAAGCTAAAGTATATTTTGTTAAGTTTGTAATTTTAATTCAGATAAAATGATGAAATCGGATACAACAGTATCTATAGAAAAAGAAAAAGAAATGAAAATAACAAGCGAACCTTCGAATTTAAAATATATTAGCTTAGCAGTGTTAATTTTTCAAAATGCTGGATTAATTCTTACCATACGCTATTCCAGAACACTTAAAGGTGATATGTACATTTCTAGTACAGCAGTATTTTTGGCTGAGGTAATAAAATTTTATAATTTTTAAAAACTTTTATTCAAGTTCAAATAAAAGTCATTGAATATATATATATATATATATATATATATATATATATATATATATATATATATATATATATATATATATATATATATATATATATATATATATATATATATATATATATATATATATATATATATATATATATATATATATATATATATATATATATATATATATATATATATATATATATATATATATATATATACACACAACAACAACAACAAAAAGCCATATATTTACCAGAAATATAGATGTTTTACATAAGCATGTTATAAGTTATAAAATATATATATATATAGTCTACATTCTGGATGGTTCACTCTCATATAGCTAGGCTAAACCGAGGAGGGCAACCATTAACAAATAAAAAAACAAAAAATAAAAATAAAATAAATAATACACTCACAGAAGGTTGAAATTAGTTAGCATTCATATGAATAACTTATCCATTTTTTACGGTAATATATAATTTATCACCAGTGATACTATTGTATTTCTATTAATCTTGTTGTAGCAAGTAGTATTTTAATTTGGTTTTGAGGACATATTTTTTAATTTTGTTAAAAGGGAATAACTTTAATTTATTTTGAATATGATTCCAGTCCATTAATGCAGAGTATTTAAAGGAATGTTTACCATAGAATTTTGTATTATATGTTGGCACACTCAGTGCACCTCTACAAAAATTTCTTGTAAGTTGACAGCTGATTGAACTGCATAAAGTAAACCATTTATTAAATTTAGGAGGCAGCTTTTTTTTTAGGTAGCTGTTAATAAATAAACAATTTTCAATTTTAATTATATCATGTACTTTTAAAATTTGTAGTGCGTTAAAAGATGTGAATGTATGTGAATTTTTTGGTAGAAATTCAATAATCCTGATTGCTTTTTTTTGCATAATAAATAGGCGATTTACAATACTTAAGTTTTGACTCCATGATAGTAAGCAATATGTTAGGTGAGAGTGAAACAAAGCATAGTAAATAGATTTTAGAGTTTTTTGTTGTATAAAATGTCTTAGCTTTGACAGAATGGCAAGGGATCTATTCAACTTATTAGATAAGTTATTACAATGTAAAGTCCAGGTTAAGTTTTTCCCCAGTCTTCGATGAAATTCTTATATTTCCTATCCGTGAAATCTCTGTTTGAGAAATTTTATTGGAATTAATAGACATTTCACTATATATATAAAATTAGTTCCATACCATGTTTCGCACCTAATTCATAATGGTTTTTCAGATCCTATGTGGAATCTTTATAACCTTTCATGCGTACATTTTTCATTACTCGAAACTTAAAATCAAATGGCTTAGAAGCACTTCTTTCTTTCTTATTTTAAAGGACTTCGGTTTACATAACAAATTTGAAGGTTAAACTCTGCTCAAGAATTTGAATCACCTGGTTTATTTTGCAGACTGTAAGAATTTGAATCACCTGGTTTATTTTGCAGACATCTTCTTTAGGCTGTAAATTGTTTGGATATTTTATCAAATGGTCTTTTACTATTTTATAAAATTTATTATAACTTTATAAAACAACCTTTAACTTTGTTCCAAATATAGCCTTATATGCAGAGGTTTAGGCGAGACAGTAAAGGTCAAGACTAAGACCAAGTCTAGGTTCAAGATCAAGACTTTGAAAGTTTCCACAAGACCAAGAATAAGGCTTATGTTCTTAAAAGTTTAACATAATAATGCTTATACATCAGGCTTGGTAAATCAGGCTAAGCCTAACACAATAATGCTAATATATTAGGATTTTTTTCTTTACAATTTGACCACGGCTGTTTTGATGTTTTAACAATTTATATGCAATTTAAAAAATCGTTACATTACAAATAACTTTTAATTGTTGATCTTTTTTAAAGTTTTTATTTTACATGAAGGATTTAAATAAAATAAAAAATTAATTATAATGATTGTTTAAAATAAAGGCATTATTTATAAATTGAATGTTATATTTAAATTTTTTTTTAGTAGGTATGTTTTTTTTATGATAAATTTAAACATTTGAAACTATTTTTCCATGTCTTTCTAAAAATCTTTTAAAAGATTATTTTTTTAAGTTCTTTAAATTATGAACAAGTTAAATTAAATTTTCACATGGTTTAATTGATTTTTTTCTTTCTATTTTTACAAATAACTGTTTAAAAGTTTTTTTTTAAACTTGACTAACTAATCAGAGCATGAAATGATTAAAAATTACTATTTGAAAAAGACTACGTTATTTTTGTAAACAATTTTTTTTCAAATTTTCGTGGTCAGCAATAGTGTTTGATTGCACACCATTTCTGTCCAAGCCTGATACATGTATGTATACTTTTAGGCTTTTAGTTGATGTATTATTTTACCATTTATACACATTACTCTGTTATAAAACATAATAATACATATATAGTATAATTATGTCAGGTCAGGTTTATCCTGCTACTGGTAACATGTAATCCAGTACAATCTGCTTCATGTCCTGCTGCCTTGTAGGATATGCCTTTTTAGGCAAAGGCTAGAAAATGCAAACTCCGACATAAAACACCCCCTGCCTTGGAGCTCTTGGTTGAGTAAAGGCTAGAGATAGTGTCTCGATAAAAATACTCATCTTGGGCAGATGTTAAATGCATCTGGCTGCTGTCTTGTAGAAGGCCTCCTAGGCAAAGACTTAAGGGGTAAACAGATTCTATCTGTTGACCAGCCTCGCACCCCTTCTCCATCTATTAGGCTAACGCAGATGTATTTTTAATACATTGTTTCCAGTTTAGGATGTTGAATGCTGGATCTTCTTGACTCGATGCATGAGTTTTGCTTGTGTCTCTGTTTTTATGACTAGGCAACTCATTCTATTATCTCCAAATGAGGGTACAGCTCTAAAACTCAGTTTTATGGTTCTGAGGCCGGCTGGTAGTCAGGTTTCCCAAACTCTGTGGTAGCTCTCAGAGAGGCTGATTCTATCAACAGCTGAAAAATATCAGAGTACTAACAGTGTCATGTTGCGCATGGATGGTGTCCCTGTTTGTACTTTTGGTGTGCATTGCTAAGGCCACATTGGAGCCCTTTATTATGGCTTAGGGTTTATTAGTGGAAATGAGGCAATTGCTTGGGCTATAAGACAGTGTATTGAGTACTATCTATGTTTCGAGTCAAGTTCTTTAACAAATTTAAAAATGAATAAAGTAACAAAAACTATAAAACACAAAAAACCACAGTCATCACCAAGTTCGCTAAACCTATCATTCACAAATATTCGTGGTCTTCGAAGTAACTTTTCTTCTGTTGAGTCTTATCTCTTGCGAAGTTCACCAGACCTACTTGCTCTTTGTGAGACTAATTTAAGTTCAGCTGTCTCATCTTGTGATCTTAGTGTTGATGGTTATCTTCCTTTAATTCGTAAAGACTCCAATAGTCACATGCCTGGCCTAGGCATTTACATTCGTAAGAATTCAGCCATTTGTCGGGAAACTAGGTTTGAATCCACAGACTATTCTTTTATGTGCTTTTGTTTAGCACTACTTCACTCTATCACCTTTCTCTTTGTTCTATATCGCTCTCCTTCATCTCAAGACTGCACTCTTCTTGATGTTATTTCTGATTATATTGACCAAGCCCTCATTCTTTATCCATCAGCCAAGATTGTTGTTGTCGGTGACTTTAATGTTCATCACACTGAATGGCTTGGCTCTAGCGTCAGTGACTCCGCAGGCATTAAGGCCCACTACTTTTGCCTTTCTCAATCCCTAACTCAAATAGTCAACTTTCCAACTCGCTTTCCAGACAACCTGAATCATTTACCTTCTCTACTCGACTTATGTCTTGTTTCTAATCCTAGTCAGTGCTCAGTTTCACCACACTCACCTTTAGGTGCTTCTGATCATGGTTTGGTCTCTCTAAAACTATTATCTCATTCTTCTTTAGCATCAGGATCCCCCTATCATTGTACATCTTACAACTACCTTAAAGCTGACTGGGACTTTTTCCGTGATTTTCTTCGTGATGGCCCCTGGGTAGAAATCTTTTGTCTTCCTTGTTGAGAAATGTGCTTCTTACATAACTTCGTGGATTCAGGCTGGCATGGAATTGTTTATTCCCTCTCGACGATTCCAGGTCAAGCCTCACTCTTCTTCATGGTTTTCCTCGCATTGTGCTGCTGCAATTGCCAATCGAAACCGATACTTCCATATCTATCAGCAAAACAATTCTCCAGAAAACAGATGTCTGTTTATTACTGCTAGGAACCATTGTAAAAAGGTTTGGTCTAACGCCAAAGCCCGCTATTCTCAGATCATGAAATCTCGTATTTCATCACAAAAGTTAGGCTCTCGTGACTTCTGGAGAATCTTTAATAGTATCAATAATAAGGGCAAGTCTGTAATTCCACCTCTTTTGTATGGTTCAGACTTTGTCACCTCACCTAAAGACAAAGCTGAATTGTTTGCTAAAAACTTTTCATCAATATCATCTCTTGACTCTATCTATTGACAATATCATCTCTTGCTCTACCTGATATAGCCGTCAAACAGTTTGATCCATTGATCGACATCCATATCACTCCAGCTTCTGTATCTAAAGTGATTTCCTGCTTAGACTCTTCTACAGCTTGCGGCGCGGACAACATATCTGTTATAGTCTTGCAGAAGTGTTCTCCGGAGCTGTCGTCTATCCTTTCAAAACTATTTAACAAGTGCTTATCAGAGTCTTGTTTTCCAGCCTGCTGGGAAGCAGCATCTGTTATCCCTATTTTAAAAATTCTGGAGAGCGATCTGATTCATCTAACTGCCATCTCATTAGTCTTCTTCCTATCATAAGCAAGGTTTTTGAATCTTTAATTAACAAACACTTAATCTCTCATCTCGAATCTCATAACCTACTTTCTGATCATCAATATGGATTTCGATCTTCTCGTTCTACGGCTGATTTGCTAACAGTAATAACCGATAGGTTTTATCGTGCATTATATAAAGG